CTTCAGAGCTCTGGTCCCACACTTTGTCTAAAGTATTCTTCATGAGTGACCAATTGATGATATGTGTGCGATAGAGCACCGGCTCTATTGTAATCACATTAATATTGAAATATTCCACTTCATTGCGGAGTCCGTCAGAAAAAGATCTGATGGCGTGTTTGGACATCGAGTAATACGACAGACCATTGAGTGTCAGTCGCCCTAAACATACATTTATATGTTATATCTTATAATAAATGATTAAAAACAGTTCAAATGAGTGCTCACCGGCGAGACTCGAGACATTGATGATTCTTCCCTTAGATATTCTCAACAGTGGTAGCGATTGTTTGGCAACTCTTACGGCACCGAAAACATTGACGTCAAAAGTACGGCTCAATTCGCGGATATCGTGTCCCCATTCAATGGGAGCGTTGATAGCGATGCCGGCGTTATTGACAACTGCCCACAGTTCACGTCCAGAGCATTTGATTTGATTGAAAACATTTGCCACTTCTTCGCAGTCCGTGACATTCATTTTGAGTACTCGAAGTTTTTGGGAACAAACGGTTTTCAACTCTTGGGCGCCGTTTTGGTCGGGATTTAGAGCGCCGGCGAACACATGAAAACCCAATCGATCGCATTCTATGGCCAATTGATAGCCAAATCCTGTATCACATCCAGTGATAAGAACGGCCCGATTGGCTGTCGAAACTGTTTCTGTCGATAATTGCTTATTAATTGTATTCGATATAAAATAAGAGATTATCACCGATACTATTGATATACAAAATAATGTATAAAATGGTAATAAGTTTGAAAAAGTTATCAAAATAAAACTAATTAATAAAAAGCTTGAAATTAATATAAAATTATTTGCAGACATTTTAAATAAAGTATTTATTGTCACGTTTGATTCAAGTCTTGTATTATATTTTTTGTGATTTATTATTTAAATCTTATATATTTTCACTAATAAGGAAAAATGTTTGCATCTTATTTGAAGTGCAAATTGAGATTCAAGGATATGAAATACAAACATTTTATAAATTAAAAGTAATTTTTACTTATTTAATAAACATTTTTTTATACAGTATATTTAATTATATTCTATGTTAAGTAATTTACAAACATGTCATCACTAATTGACGTGATATTAATATAATAGGTGTTATTTCGTGCACAAACTATAAATTTAACTTTATACAATATTGAAAAATTCAATGACTATACCTATTGTTATTTTTCCAATTTTATATTAAGGCTTATTTTGTGCAAAATTATACTGTATTTGAAATGTAGTTAGAAATAATTTTAAATTTGTAATAGGTTAAATTCAATTTATATATTTTTGAAACATAATTCCATGATTTAGAAAATAATAAATAGATTATTATTGTTTGCATTTATAGAAATCGAGAGCTGTTTTCCACATCTTTCCGGTGAGGAAGAAGTCTTGAGCCGATTCTGGCAAAAGACTTAAGAACCAAAGCGAGGGCTTCTCTGAAATGGCAGCACATCTATAGTAGAGGTCGGGTTCGCAAAGAGTGATGGCCTTCTCCTGAACGTCGAGCACTTCGTGCACTTCAGGTCTGGATATCTCCACATTATATCTCAATCTCCTTTTTAATTGGTCGTAAAACGTGTGGCCGCCGTAGTCTTCCCGTATTTGGGCAGCCGTTTGAAGCCAAACACTTTCAATAGTCTTATTGAGTAGATCTAAGTTTACGATTTCTGTTTTGTACATATTTGGCTCAATTGTCACCACTTTTACTCCAAAACTCATCAACTCTTTGCGGAGTCCATCAGAGAAGGCTCTGACCGCGTATTTCGACATACAATACGCTGTTATTCCCCAAAACGTAAAACGACCTAAAAATTTAATTTAATTATAATAAATAATTATAACAAAGATAATAATCAAGATGGAAATAATAATACAATATATAATTTATAAATAGGAAACTCGTAAATGTGTACTTTAAACACTTATAAAATCTAGTGTATGATTACCGGCAACACTGGCCATATTGACAACCCGTCCACCAGAGCGTCGTAAGAGCGGCAGACAGTGTTTAGTGACGCGAACCAAACCAAACACATTGACGGCAAATGTCTTCTCAAAGATGTCAATTCCGGGTCCCATCTCTACCAACGCGTACTGAGCGATACCGGCGTTGTTGAGCACTGCCCATAAGTCCAGACCCGATAACTCAATCTCTTTGACCGCGAGCTTCACGTCATCGTCGAGAGTGACGTCCAGTTTAATTACTTTCAAACGATTTGAACATTTTGTGCGAAGTTTTTCGGCACTTTCACTATCGGTGGACAAAACGCCCGCAAAGACATGAAAGCCATAAGAATCCAATTGATAGCACACGTTATGTCCAAAACCAGAATCACATCCAGTGATAAGAACCGCACGATTTTTGGGCGAAATGTACTCCAGTTGTGAATATTTTCGCAATATATGGGCCAAAAACCATGAGATTTGTATCAATATAGTTATGACACCAAAGAATTGACAGAAAATTGTGAATATATTTAGTAGCGAAGAGTCGATTAAATTCATATACAATAGACTTAAGATTATAAATACTATGACAAATGTCTTGTATAAAGTAATTTGTCCGACATTTGCCATTTTAATACAATTGTTTGGATTAACGATTATTTGATCACAAAGTAAATGATATGTTAAACAACATTTAAATTAAAGATCTATCGCCTAAACACTTGAGAAAGGAAATGGATTAAAAAGTAGTTTTATTTGAGCCCTACATTCAAATGCAATTGACTTTCACTGTAAGATTGGATTTAGTTTTTAAAAATAATGTTTTCCTAAATGATTGCTACCTTTTTTTCTGGATTAGACTATTTTTAATACACATCTAAACGAGTTCTCCGACCAAATGATACACAAAATACAATTAAGCGTTAAACATATGAAACTGGTGTGAGATTTATTTGGGTTCAAAAAACTGTTACAACTTTTTTTCATTGATTGATACTATTTTTGAAGAATCGGAAACCTATTGGCAATTGGGGTCACACTCTATACACAGACCACAAACTCGTTGAGACTAACCATTAAATCCTTTGATCAATACATACGGATCTATCGATAAACAGTGAATTGGATTTTCAAAAACAATTGTTTAAAAATAGTTTATTACAGAAATGTATTGTATTGTTGTTATGGTTAATAAAAACTGGAATTACCGTATAGTTTGAAATCACTTTATTTTAAACATTTAATTAAGATATGATTTAATATAATGTGTTTATAGATTGTTAGAAATATTGTAAATCTATTTTTTGTGAATTAAATATAAACAGACATTTTATTTTACGTTAGAAACTTTAGCCCAAATATATTATATTTATTTACAGGAATAGTTGCGATTATCGTTGAATAAATGCATACATCATTCAAATACAAAATAATTTTTATATTTATAAGTTAAAATTTAATTGTTAAACAAATATGGAGTAAAAATATATTTTGTTGATTTTTATTTGTCATAAATAATGCATTTAATAAATATAAATGCTTTTAATTTATTTATAAATACAGTGAAACCTCTTTTGGGGAAACACTTCCTCATAAGGAAGGGTTTTAAAATATTTAATGAATTTCCTATACTTATAATGTTAATGCAACTTCTTTTAGGGAAACTTCTTCATAAGAAATATCTCCCCATTGGAAACGAATTTATGGAAATTCCGATATAATTTATAACTTTCATTTATTTTGTGTAAAACCAATAATTGATTATACAATTTACTCTTATCATTGAATTGCATTAACACAGAATTAATAATGCTTTAGCCATAAAATTATCTTAACTTTGTATTTGTTAGTCACTAAGAAAATATGCGTTAATTAAATTTTTTCTATATAAGAATAAATAATTTATTTCACCAAATTATATAGTTTTTTTTCAATAATAAAACATTTTACAGTAAAAATTTTACTCATAGCTCATGCTTTTGTACATAATTATACATACAGTAGACATTCGGTTTTGACACTTTTGCGGTGCTGTTAAAAATGTATGTTAAAATCGAATTCTGTTAAAATCGAATTTTGTTAAAATCGGGTACTTTAACAATACTAATATCGCTCGCCGGTGCTAACAAAATGTTATGTTAAACCCGAATTCTGTTAAAATTGCGCCTGTCAAAACCGAATGTCTACTGTAATTAATAGTAACAATATTTGCATCGTTATAATAAGTTCTACCATGTTATAAAATATTTAGATAACCGACAAATAGGATTAAATTGATTGATTAGGTTTAAATAACCTGAATCAGAAGAATAAAGTTAAGTGAGAATGGTTAAATAGTTTTGACATGATACTTTTATTACAATACATTACAGCAATAATTACGTCAATATTTACAATAAAATACAGAAGTGTTGAACACTTTCAATGAGTTTTACGGACAAAACTTTTACCGTTAATTGAATTGAATTGCAATTAAATCAATGAAATAATGAGTGAATTAACACATCTGGAGATTATAGGAATCGTTTCATTAGTTTTCGTTGCATTAAAACTGACAATAAGTGTATTGAAGGGCTTTTGGACCACTTTTTTGGGCTATAAATTGGGTTTTGGTATTGAATGGAAAGTCGGAGACAATGTGTGGGCTGTCATCACCGGCGCTACCGATGGTATTGGTCTGCAATACGCCAAACAAATGGCACAAAAGGGATATAATTTAGTCATTATCTCAAGAAATGAAGACAAACTGATGGCAACACAAAAGAGTCTATTGAATGACTACAAAGACTGCAAACAGGTTTGTATTCAACGGTGTCTTCAGTATTATCTCCAAAATATAACCATTTATTTCTCAACTTTAGGTCAAAACAATTGCCGCTGATTTCAGTCGTACCGATGTTTACGATATGATCGCCAAAGAGTTGAACCAATTGGAAGTGATTGACGTATTGGTGAACAATGTGGGCACTCTTAGCACTTGTCCCGACTATTTCCTGGACAT